GCCTTGTGACCATCAGCGCTTCTGCACCCAGCTGGGTCTTGTGCCTGTCTTGCCTCACTTGCTCTCCTCTTGACTTTACTTGTACTGTCACATATATATACCTGCTCTTGCTTGTCTAGCTTTATATATATATGTGTGTACTCCTGCATGTGAACTGGCCTTGTGGCCTTGCTCTTGTGCTCAGACTGTGTGGTGACTTTGTGATCCACCCTGAGCTTTGCTTTGCTTTGCTTGACTGGTCTTGTGACCCCTTGTTCTTCCCCACTTTGCCTATGGGGGTGTGTCAGAACATATATGTAGCTTATGCTGTTGTCTAGGCTACAGTGGGGTATACCATAGGGGGTACAACCCAATTAGGGTTTTGCTATTTGTACTCACTTCACTCATAGTTCATTCATTCTCGTTCTATTTTCCACAACAACCTGCGAAAGAAACAAGAAACATCATCAGCTGCATGGCAAGGCTGAGCGACTCCTGCATAACTGAGTCACCACCATATTACTCACCAGAAGAACAACTCGACAACAGCACGCCTCGCTGCGAGTCACTTCAACTGAACCCGACGTACGCCGCCATCGCTCAAAGCGAACCGTCCGGGAAAGACACATGGTTCTTGGATAGATGCTGCGGACAGCACATGTGCTTCTCGGGACGCTTCGTTCAACGCGAGCACCGACTTCAACGAGAGGTCGTCATCAGAGTCGTCAATAACCAGAACCTGCGCATACGACGACAAGGGATTGTGCAACTTCAGTCACGAGAAACAAATGTTATACTACAGATGTCAAAAGTACTAATCGCGGAGGGACTCGGCTACAACTTACTGAGCGTCAGTCAGCTGATGGCGAAAGGCATACATCTCGAAGCAGACAGCACCACCCAAGAATTCAAGTTGTATCACGGGAGAGGAGGTCTCTACATCGGCAAGGCGGTCCTCAAGAACAACGTCTTCGTCCTCGATTTTGTCCCTGACCTTGGCACCGCCGACAGCGACGCCATCGTTAACTTCACTGACTGGACACATCCTCCAGACCTTGATCCAGACTTCAGTCCGGAAGGCTTTTGGTATTCACATACCATTCTTGAAGCAAAACGAACACGCGCGTTAGTAACAATAAAACATTCGGCAGCAGCAGAGACAACATCGGCAGCAGCAGAGACATCATCGGCAGCAGCAGAGACAACATCGGCAGCAGCAAAGACATCATCGGCAGGAGCAGAGACATCATCGACAGTAGCAGGAACAACAACAGTAGCAGCAACAACGACACCAGTCCTCGTTGACGAAACACCACCAACACCAGCACAACAGCTCCACCCAGCACCACGAGAAGTTCATCGTAGCGCAAACTTCACCACCAGCTTCTATTCCAACTCCGATATGTACCGACGATCACCCGGACATCGCGCCGACGAAAGCACCTGGCACGCAAGGATGGGACACCCAAGCAACACTGTGTTAAACAACACAATAAGAGCAGGAGTCCTTGACAAGGACTCGTTACTACTACTCGACGGCAGAGAACTCCAACGGGCACGAGGAACATGCCTTACCTGCCCCAAAGTCGACTTACCACATCGGCCATTCGCTCCTCGTCACAACCCGAGCGCACCCGCGTACGCACCACTCGAAAAGGTGTATAGCGACATCCTGTACAGTCGGGAACCAGGACAAGTAATCTACAACTACACAATCACCTTCATCGACGCCGCCACCTGTTACGTCTGGCACCTAAACCTACCCAGCCGCGACATGGTCCTCGAAGCATTCGCTGCTTGGCTACCAGTAGCAGAGAGAGAGTCGGGCGTAAAGCTGAAAAGCTTCCACTCAGTCGGAGGAGGAGAATACACCTCTCAGCGATTCAAGCAGTACCTGGCGGAAAGGGGGATCAAGCAGCTCCTCTCTCTTCCCTACGCCCATCAGCAGCAAGGTGTAGCAGAAAGAATGAACAGGACTCTGCAGAACAGCATGCGCAAACTGTTACGTGGCATGCGGCTACCCAACCACCAGTGGCCTGCAGCAATGGACCACGCTGTCATGCTGCACAACTTGCTGTCGTCATCGTCGCTTCCGAACAACGCATCACCGCATCTGCTGTGGACAGGGAAACAGGGCAGCACAAAAATGTTACGAGTGTTCGGATGCATGGTACAGTATCGACCCCCAGCAGCACGAGCGGGCCGATTTTCACAGCGCGCACAGTGGGGACTACACCTCGGCATCGAAAAGAATTACAACGCGTGGAAAATCTTCGACGTCCACTCCAAGGAAACAGTAGCAGCACGTGACGTCATTTTCTACGAACGACACACGCTCAAGACGTACCTTGCCAACTTGCAAGAGGACCAAGATCCCACAGGTGGTTTTCGTGGCGACCGAGCCTTTGCCTCCGCAGAAGACGAAGCTGACTGGGACGAGCAGAATGTGGACAACGCGTCAGATGAAGCCGGACCTCTCCCGTTCTGCTCCGTCGACGTTCCCATGGACGAAGACAACCCTCGCGAAAGCGTCAACGCCGAAACCTTCTACTACTTCGCCGACAACGGTTACGTAACATTTGCGACAGTCAACACCAACGAAGCAGAACTGATCGGTCAGGACCGAATTTCATACCTGATTCAGAAGCGGGAGATGAAGCAGCTTATCTCGAGGATGCAACTCTTCCTCGCTACTCACAGACTGGACTGCAGATACTCGGCCTCATCACCGCAGTCCACGGCAACACCCTTCCTAAGGAGCCTGCGACGGTTCAGCAGGCTCTGGGGGGGGAACACAGGGAAAAATGGCGTGAAGCCATGGACAGAGAGTTAAAAGCGCTGGAGGAACGGAACACCTGGAAAGTTGTCCCCATCAACGTGGCAAGGAACAAGACCATTCTCACCGGGAAATGGGACTTCCGCGTTAAAACAAAAGCAGACGGCACAATTGAGAAGTTCAAAGCACGCTGGGTTGTGCGTGGATTCGATCAGGAGCACGGACGGGACTTCACTGAGACATTCGCCCCGGTTAGCCGACATACCTCACTTCGAATCCTCCTCGCGATCGCCGCCATAAAGAAAAGGAAGCTACGGCAAATCGATGTCGCCAACGCGTTCCTCTACGCACCTGTCGACGTAGAGATCTTCGTGGAACTACCGCACGGTACTAACAGAGAGCCCAACCAGGTTTGCCAGCTGCTGAAATCGCTCTACGTAATCAAACAAGCCCCGCGGCTGTGGCAACAGTACCTACACGCTCGCCTCATTCGCATTGGATTCCGCCAACTACCTCACGACCAAGGAATGTACCGACTCACGAAGGGTACCAACTACATCCTGCTGATCGTCTACGTAGACGACCTACTCTACATCGCCTCCACTGACGACATCACCACCTGGTTCGAAGGGGAGTTACAGAGGGACCTCACACTCACGGTCTCCTCTACCGTCACACAGTACCTCGGCTTGAACATTCGAGAGGAAGAAGATGCGATCTACCTCAACGCCACTAAGTACGCCGACACCATCGCCAAACGCTTCACGCTCACGCCTACCACCATCTCTACGCCCTACCGCTACGCGACAGGAAACCACGAGGAAGGATCCACTCTACTCAAATCTGCCGGGATACGCGACTACCAGAGAAAGCTAGGATGCCTTCTCTTCGCAGCCGTTACCTGCCGCCCCGACCTCTCATACTCCGCAAGCCAGCTCGCCACTCATCTCAAAAGGCCTGAAGCAAAATACATGGCCGAACTCGACCACGCTCTACTCTATCTGGTCAGTACGCCAACGATCGGCCTAACATATCACAAGAACGCGACCACGCCACCTAAGCTAATCGGTTACGTCGAGGCAGATCACGCGGGGGACTCCGACAACAGACAATCACGCACCGGCTACATCTATCGCTTCGAGCCTATCGGGCCTATCTCCTGGCAATCGAGCAAGCAGGAACTAATTGCTCTCTCGTCAGCTGAAGCAGAATATATTGCACTCTGCTCAGCCACCAAAGAAGGACTCTATCTTCGCGAGCTGCTGGAAGAAGCGAAGTTAGCCGAGTTACCCAACTTTACCCTGTTCTGCGACAACCAGTCGGCAATTCGCATCGCCAACAAGAACGGTTTTGCGAACAGGAGGAAACACATCGCCCTGCGATACTTCTTCGTGAAGGACGAGATCGAGAAGGCAAGGTTCAGAATCTCTTTGTTAACGCTTCCGCTACTACATCATTCTACCCAGAGATTAACCCTACCAAAGATCCTAAGGGGCACTCAGCCCAACAAGAAGAAGTGCTGTCGTACAACTTTTGAGGACAAGTTGGTTTCAGATACGGTTGTCAATGATGGACATGGTCCAACATCGTAAAATTTCGGTTGGGAGAGACGAGTGGCATTATAACATCCCTTTTTAACAGGCATGGTCGCATGCCAACTGTCACGAACCTTGAACCCTATCCAGGACCGCTGCCCGGCCAGCAAAGAAACCATTTGTATAGGCAGCATTCTTGAACATAACCTGGAAGGTCAATAATACGCACGTATTCAACATGAAAACAACCGTAAAGGGTAAACGGGATGCAGTACAAATGCAACCCATACCCGCCTGGCCAATGCTAGCATAAAGGCATGAAATGGAAAGTGTCGTCGAATATAATCCGTACCAGGGTGTGCTGAAGATTCAATGCAAGCTCCTCATTGGCTTTGCTGGCACTAGAAGATTGATCCGCAGTCGCAGAGTCACCACTACATTTCTGTAGTTGGTGATGGGGAACGCAAATGCCAGAAGAATGCGGATGATTGAAGCAACCATGAGGCACGAAGGGACAAGGGGGGCATGCGCATGGAGCTGACGGGGTAGGCCAGTGGGGGAAGACGTTGATGAGAAACTGAACGGAGAGTACAGACAGCAATTCAGCCGCCTTCATGTGCTCTGTCAGCATGCCCAGAATCCGCATGATGGTGATGGAGAAATGGATGGTGAGAAAGAAGAGAGAAGAGAAATGGACGGTTGAAAGTGAGTTACCCCACCTTCATGTGCTCTGTCAGCATGTCCAATATCCGTGTCATGCAAGTTGCCACGTCATCGCCCGGTGGCCCCTTTGGTACGGCAGCCGCTGTCTTCTTCTGAGAAGCTGCAGCGGCGAGGGGAAAGCCACACCCCACCCATGCAAGTAGAAATCAGAGAATAAGAGTACAGAAAGTCATGGCCCTAGTCAGTAATCCCTAGTCGAACCACCACTTCACACATCCAGGGTTATACGGAGCACAGAACAAACTATTGGCGCATTCCACACACATTTTTTATTCTCCTGCATACCAACCCACCCACCTGACTTCCCCTTCCCAGCTGCAGCAGCACCGGCCTTGGGGGCGTTGCCATTGCCACCAGTATTAGAACTGGCACTGGCACCGCTGGTAGTGCTGGTGGCGGCACTTGTAGGTGCAGAGGCGGCATCTCCTGCTGCGGCAGCGGTGGAAGCGGCGGGGAGAAGAGAAGCGAGGTCGGGCGGTTGATCCTTGCCCACCACCACGTTGGCCTGCGAGAGAAGGAGGAATTCCATGCAATAACAAAGTAAGAAGAACACAAGTTTATATTTTTCAAAGTCTGCTGTGGCAGCAGTGGCGGGGGAAGAGAGAAGGGCAACGAGGTTGGGTGATTGATCCTTGCCCACCACCACGTTGGCCTGCAAAGCAAGGCATTGGGATTACCATTACATTGACAATGGAAGATAAGCATGCGTTTTGAGACGTCACAGGCACAGGTTTCTCAAAACCTGTACCTGCTTATCTTCCAGCGTTTTGAGACGTCTCAGGCACAGGTTTTAAAAATTCTGCTGCGGCAGCAGTGGTAGCGGCAGGGAGAAGGGCAGTAAGGTAGGTCGGGCGGTTGATCCTTGCACACAAGCGTACCTCATCCACGAAAGCAGGTTAAGAGAAGCCATCAGAGCCTTGAGACGCCTAAGCTTGAGGCGCTAAAAAAAATGCCTCAACGTATGAACACCCACCCACGCACACAAGCATGCGTCTAGGTCCACATGAGCCGGCCCAGGCCAGCCACCAGAGGTTTGAGGCGCCTGAAATCATTTAGAGGTTTTCTGAGGCGTATCAAATCAGCATCCATTCACATAAGCATACCTCAATGCGTCCACATAAGCCGTCCAGAGGTTTAAGGCGCCTGTAAACATAGACACGTTGTTTTGGCACATCAAATAACTTCGTGACCCTCAGACAAAAGCATACCTCAAGGTCCACATAAGCGGGCTCAGAGTGGCCAACAGTGCCAAGGAAAGACTCAAACGCCTCTCGAGTCAACCTGTGATGCTGTGCATAGGAGGGCATCTCCCACCTCACATCACCTTATTATCAATGCACACGGGCATACCTCAAGGTCCACATAAGCTGGCTCAGAGCGGCCAACCGTGCCAAGGAAAGACTCAAACGTCTCTCGAGTCAACGCTGTGCATCGCAGGGCACGGGGATGGAAGGGAAAAAGGGGGGAAAGGGATGGACTTGAGAGGGCTGTTGAACCACATAAGCCGGCTCAGAGCGGCCAGCATTGCCAAGGAAAGACTCAAATGTCTCTCGGGTCAACGCTGTGAATAGGAGGGCAAGAGAGGAGGAAGGGGGAGAGGGGGACGGACTTGAGGGCTAGAAGCGGCAGTAAGGTGTACAAAAACGGGGACAATTAATTGCAAATCGACCAAAACATGCAAGAAGAACTAAGGGCGTTCTACTTGCGGTATCAATTCAGCTCCTTATTTTTCTATGTGGGAAGAAAATTGCCGTATACTGACTGATAGTGGCGCCTTACCAACAGTGGCGTCATTGGAGAGAGGGTGGAAGAGCAGGTGCTGCTGGGAGGCGAACCCTTGATCCAGCAGCAGCACCACGTCTCTGAATCACATGACACGGGAAGGTAGTGCATGGCAGGAGTGATAAGAGGATGAAGCGGAGGAGGAACGTGGCGCGGGGGGTTCTGGAGGAAAGGGGAAGCACTGACTGCATGAGAAGCCTTGGTCCAGTCCAGCAGCAGCAGCAGCAGCAGCAGCACGTCTCTGAATCCCATGACGGGGGGTTTCATGGCATGAGGGATGGATGGGGAAGGTGTGAAGAATGAGGTGGGAGAGGAGAGGCCTGGATGTGGTGTGACATTTGTTTGAAGGGTGAAGCCTTGGTCCAGCAGCAGCAGCACCACGTCTCTGAATCACATGACACAGGGGGTCATGGCAGGCGGGATGGGTGAACGAGGCGGGAGGAGAAACGTGGGAGGCTTCTGGGGAGAGGAGAAGCACAAGCACAGACCGCCTGCGAATCCTTGGTCCAGCAGCAGCAGCACCACGTCTCTGAATCACAAAACACGGGGGAATGTGTGGGAGGCGGCGGGAAGTGTGGGAAGGAGGGAGGTTGAGTTAAGGGTAGAGAACAGAGGCCTGGGTGTGGTCCACTCCGCCCTGTCTGGTGACCAACTAATCAGCACAGGCAGAGCTGTTAAAAAGGGCCAGGGGAGTGAAGCAGCAGCCAGCAGGCACCTGCCTGTCTCGTCAAAAGTTCTGGTCCTGTCTATTTGGGTCCAGCCTGGTTTGGTGACCAGCCAGCCTACAAAGCCATTGCTTACTTGGCGGTATCGTTGAACAGAGCCAGAGGAGTGACGCAGCCAGCAGGCACCTGCCCGTCTCGTCAGAAGTTCTGGTTCTGTCTGGTTGGGTCCAGCCTGGATTGGTGACCAGCCAGCCTACAAATGCTCACTTGGAAGAATCGTTGAACAGCGCCAAAGGAGTGACGCAGCCAGCAGGCACCTGCAGCACAGTGGTGAGGTTCTCATGTGGTGCACTCATTGCACGCACCACAAGTTAAGTCCCACCAACCTATCAAGCTATTGCTCACTTGGCAGAGTCGTTGAACAGCGCCAGACGAGTGACGCAGCCAGCAGGCACCTGCAGCACGGTGGTGAGGTTCTCATGCGGTGCACTCATTGCACGCACCACAAGTGAAGTCCAACCAACCTACAAAGCCAATGCTCACTTGGCAGAATCGTTGAAGAGCGCCAGAGGAGTCACGCAGCCAGCAGGCACCTGCAGCACCGCAGCCAAATTCTCGTCTGGTGCCATGCGCAATCCTCCCTTGCCCAGCCCCAGCCTCTGCGACAGCACTGAGGAATCGGCAGAGGACACAGAGAAACAATACACGGGTGCCCCTGACTGAATCAAAGCAGCATTTCCCTTCTTGAGAGACTATGAGAGGACTATGCGCAGCGCAGCACAGTCCTTCTTGAGTCAGGCTCTCGCCTGGCCCCCCGCCCTTGCCCAGTCCCAGCATCTGTGACAGGACTGGGATGGAGGAAGGGAGAAAGCACAAGACGAACAGACAGAAACAGCACAGGGGTGCCCGTGAATCGAAGGCCAGTCCCAGCCTTGTTTTGAGTCGACTCAAAACAGGGGTGTCCGTGAATCGAAGGCCAGTCCCAGCCTCTGTGAAAGCCCCTGCAGCACTGTGGTCAGGTGTACACTTTCGACGACACAAAAGTGGGGTGTACAGTTTGCATGGGTCAGGTATAGAGCAGTGACGAAGCATCCTTACACTTGAGATCAATCTTGGTCTTGGTGAGTGCAGAGATGAGAATCAGCCGACCCTTCTTGTCCTGCCACAACGCATTCACGAACGGATTGAGGAAATGCACTCAGGTGACGGTGCCGAATCCGGTGCAAGGTCGAGGATTGAGAAAATGAACATAGACCAGGGGAGAAAGCAGAGCCATGATTCACTCAAGAGGGGGGATGAAAGAGAAATATATCTTACCTTAAGTAGAAGGTTCTTGGTAAACTCCCCTGTAGCTCCTGTCACTTGTGCAGCCTGCTCCTCCACTGTAAGCACCGGTGGATGCGAATAGAGTTGGTAGGTGATACCCAGCTCCTGCAGGCCACGAGGGAAGCAACAAAGCAAAGGACTTTTGAGTCGACTCAAGAGTCTCCCCTGTAGCTCCTGTCACCTGTGCAGCCTGCTCCTCCACTGTAAGCACCGGCGGATGCGAATAGAGTTGGTAGGTGAAACCCAGCTCCTGCCAGCCACGCGGGAAGCAACAAATCAAAGGACTTTTGAGTCGACTCAAGAGTCTCCCCTGTAGCTCCTGTCACCTGTGCAGCCTGCTCCTCTACTGTAAGCACCGGTGGATGCGAATAGAGTTGGTAGGTGATACCCAGCTCCTGCAGGCCACGAGGGAAGCAACAAAGCAAAGGACTTTTGAGTCGACTCAAGAGTCTCCCCTGTAGCTCCTGTCACCTGTGCAGCCTGCTCCTCTACTGTAAGCACCGGTGGATGCGAGTAGAGTTGGTACATGATACCCAGCTCCTGCCAGCCACGCGGGAAGCAACAAATCCAATCAAACCAAATCAAACCAAATCAAATTAAATCAAATTCACTGCAAGGACCGTCGGATGTGACAACAAACCCCCATAAATGAATGAAAATCCCGAGGTGACTTTTGAGTCGACTCAAAAGTCACCTCAAACCCCCATGAATGAATGAAAATCCCCGTGAAAAGGAGGACTGGGTGCGACCAACTGAAGAGTTGTAACAAACTCTAATGACAGACAGACTATAATGCCGGATCCCGCAACAAACGCATAAAAATCGGCAATCATGGAATCACACTGGATCGTTTTAGGAGAACGTCCTGCTTCGCGTGAGCCGGTTCTAACGACACAACGACGCTCTCGCGAAACCCTGGCGACGACGAACTAAAACTTGAATCGGCATTGCCCTAAAAAGGCTTTAACAGGCGTTTTGCGTCGCATAAGCGATTCCTACGACATCATCCTCTTGACGGCAATGATGACCTTGATATTGCCGACAAAAGAGCTCACAGTTTCGCGCGAGACGTTCCGATATTGACCATGCAGACCTTGATAATGCCGACGGCAGTGCTTACAGTGAATCGTTTCAGGAGCGCGTCCTGGTTCGCGTGAGCGGCTTCTAGGGACACCATGATGCTCGCGAAACCCTAGCGAATGGCAGATTGGCGAAAAAAACGCGGACGCCAGTGAACGGCTGACTTGCAGGCCGAACCGCGGAAGCCTAATGCTGCTGGCCGAGCCGCTGTATCAGTCTAGATAGAGCTAGAAGAGCTCCTTGATTGGATGGGCGGTATTTTGACAATGGCCTAAGCTCACCCTAAAGGCCAGGTGGTTCAGGGGAGAAGGATTTCGTGATCAGGTATACGCGGTACGAGCATTGGACTGGTTTTCAAGATCTAACATCACGCTTGTATTATCAGGGCTCTAATAGTTGAGTACTCTTTTCCACAAGTTGTACTCCACAGTATCCCTTCACAAGAGTTAATTTGCTAGCAGCTTTAGCTAGGAAATACATTTTAGCTTTGGTAAGAAATGGAATAGGAGCCGGTTTTAGGGTCCTTCACAGCCTTGAAGTTGTCAACACTCATTCCAAAGTGGCCCAAAACGGAGTTCCCAAGGTCCTTCAATTTGCCTGAATCGCACACAAACGAAAGACAGAAACCACAAAAAACCGAATCACGCATTTTACTCGACATAGAGGTACCGTAGCGAGGAAAAAAATCAAAACAAGGTCCAGTGAAAAACCACAACACTTACCCAACATTTCCTCTTTAAGCTTTTCCCTCCTCTCTTCGACAATGGGCTCCAATCGCCTGGCAGGTGATCTGGCTTGTGTGTTGGTTTTGTCCACCTCCAACACTTTCTTATAATCTGGGATGTGTGGTGGAGGTAGGCAGTAAAAAGGTGCAAAGGAATGTGTGGTTCTCGCTAGTGCGTTGGTTTTGTCCACTTCCAACGCTCTCTTATAATCTAGGATGGGTGGTGGAGGTAGGTAGTAAAAGAGTGCAAAGGAGAAAGACAAACATGACATACAAGCGCATCATTGCCTTCACTTCACATAACCCAGCTACCACGCTCCACATACCACACATCACTCTCTCCCAGCGCCTCTTCCAGCTTCTCCAGCTTCTCCCACACCTGGACCCGTTGCATAATGGCTTTCACTTCACATAGCTCCGCTACAGAACCACGGCAATCCAGAGCCCAGAAAAACTGCCGCCATACACACCCAACTGCCATACTCCCTTTCTCCACACATGCATCCCTCTCCTTCCACAATATGTTTCAAGGTTCGTTGATTGGCTTCAAGCCGCACTCACTCACCTCCCAGCGCCTCTTCAAGCTTGTCCAGTTTCTCCCACGCCTGTGCACGCCGCATGATCACCTTCACACAGCCTAACTGGCTCACTCCCTCCCCTCCCATGCATGTGGAAACACATGCATCAGTCCCCTTCCAAAATAAAACAGGCGTACTTGGAGCATTTTCAAGAAAACCCATGAAGTCACATGCATCTGTCTCCTTCCGTAAAACTCACGTAAAACTCACTAATCCATGATCCTGGTTGGTTGGCTCCTAGCCCCCGACTCACCTCCCAGCGCCTCGTCTGGCTTCTCGAGCTTCTCCCACGCCTGTGCACGCCGCATGATTGCCTTCTCATAGCCCAGCATCCACACTCCCTCCATCCACACATGCGCTTCTTTCCTCGCAGAAACTCAAAGGCTTCAGTAAGAGCCCCACTCACCTCCCAGCGCCTCTTCAAGCTTGTCCAGCTTCTCCCATGCCTGTGCACGCCACATGATCGCCTTCACACAGTCCAGCTTCCATACCCCTTCCATCCACACATGCACTTTTCTCCTTCCAGAAACACAAAACATTGATGTCCCACTCACCTCCCAGCGCCTCTTCAAGCTTGTCCAGCTTCTCCCATGCCTGTGCTCGTCGCATGATCGCTTTCACATAGTCCGGCTTCAGATCAATGGCTGCTGTGCTCTCTGTAACACACGCATCATAATCCTTCTGCAAAAACCAAGGGCGAAAGGGAGTGTGAGGAGCAGGAGGAAAAGGCCAGCTTCTGGTGATGGGTGTGACTTTTCAAGCCCCAATCAACTCCTCTCTCCAACTGCACGTGACTTATAGAAATTTCTCAAAGCCTTATAAGTGGCCAAACTAACAGCTCTCTCGCTCTCTCACCAGCTGCAGGTGGCACATGGCTCTGTTGGCATCGTAAATCGCCCCTGACTCCTTCGCCTCTGCAAGCTCTGCTCCAGGCGCTGCTGCCAGATTGCAAGACAAGACCCTGCAAGTGGGGAACTTCGAAAGCTCACCAGCTGCAGGTGGCACACGGCTCTGTTGGCATGGTAAATCGCCCGTGACTCCTTCGCCTCTGCGTGCTCCGCCCCAGGCGCTGCTGCCAGCTTTCCTCGGGAGCCCCCACCCCACCAGCCCGAGATCCCACCAACTGGAAATTCCAAAAACTCACCAGCTGCAGGTGGCACATGGCTCTGTTGGCATGGTAAATCGCTCGTGACTCCTTCGCCTCTGCATGTTCCGCCCCAGGCGCCGCTGCCAGCGCGTTGCTGTAGCTCTCCAGGGCTGCGTTATAGTCACCCCGCTTGTACTCCTCGTTCCCCCTCGCTTTAATCACCTCTGCTTCCGCCAGAGCTTTCTGAACGGCCGGGATGCGCGATGAAAACGTTTGGAAAAAGATACACCCAAGGAGAAAGGCGGGGCGGGGGAGAAGAGGGGAGGCGTGAGGAAAGAGGAGGGGTGGGATGGGGGGCAGAGGGGAAAGGAGGGGAACAACAAGTTGTGAGTGCAGAATTACGGAGTTTTATGAAGACGCAACTGCCTCAAATCAGAATTTTCCATTCCGCTAACCTTGCGGAACTTCTGTCGAGTCAACCTGAACTCGAGGCATGGAGAAGCGGGAAGGAGAAGCGGCATTCTGAGCGGAATTCTCCACCTCTTCCCGATTCCCCCTGATCCGCTTCTCCTTCCCCCTTCCTCCCCCTCCAGGTTCCCGTTCCCCCTTACCCCTTCAACCTTCCCCTTTTTCCCTTCCGCTCTCCCCCCCGCTATCCGCTCACCTTGCGCTGCCCCTCTTCTGTAAGCGCATCTTCAAACTCCTCTTCCGCCCTCTCCTGGTTCCCTTTTCCACGTCCCCTCTCCCCATTTCCCCTTCCCCCACCCCTCCCTTCGCTCACCTTGCGCAGCTCCTCTTCTGTAAGCGCATCTTCCAACACCTCTTCCGCCCTCTCACGGTTCACCTTTAGGGTCTACCCCTTCCACCTTCCCCCTTCCACCTTCCCCCTTCCACCTTCCCCCTCCCCCCTCCATTCCCCTTTCCCCCCACCTCACTTCCTCTCACCTTGCGCAGCTCTTCTTCTGTCAGCGCATCCTCGAACACCTCTTCCGCCTCTTCACCCGCTGCCGCCTCTCCGCCAGTCCCCGCCAAGTCGCTGAGCGCATCTTTGAATCCACCCTGCTCCCCAGGAAGGTCTTCCCCTCCCCGTTCCGCCTCCCCTTCCCCCGCGGAGTCCTTTCCCCTCGCCTTCACTCCTTCCCGCTCTGCCCCCCCTCCCCCCGCGGACTCCCCTCTTCCTTCCTCCTCCTTCTCCCCCGCCTTCACGCCTCCCGCCCCCGACCCACTCCCAGCAGCGCCGTTTTGACTCGCCTCGAAACCCGCAGCCGAGGATAGCCGTCCATCGCCTCCTAAATCCGACGGTTCTCCGGCAACCTTGGCTCCGTCAGATCCACTTCCTGATCTTGACCCAACGGTTCCCGCATCCCCAGTTGCGATCCTGGCCGCCGACGTTGTATTCTGAGCGGCTGTACTTTGAAGGTAACTATTCTCGACCCGTGTATCCTCAATTTCCTCAATTTCAACCATCCTGCCTGTTAGGGTTGGTTCGCCCAACCACGGAACCTAAGGCGAAAGCATCTACGACGGCGGAATGACGGCGAAATGGAAGCGCGTCTGTGAAACGGTGGAAATCGGCCTACGGTGGGGAATAGAGGCTACGGCGTGAGAAGCGGGAGAGAAATCGAGAAGAAATGTGCTAGAAGGAGGGAGAGAGAAGGAGAAGCATCGAGAATGAGATTGACGAGGGGAAAAATGTGCTTCGAGACCAAGGCGCGTTCGAGAAAGTTCGGGTTTCGGACTTGCGGAGTATTCACTGAATTCGGTTCGGTTGCGTGTGCGACTCGGGGTGAAACGAGGCGCACGCGGCTACTTGGGAAACAAGTGAAGTTACGAATCGCATTTTGTGTCTTGCCTGACTAGAAAACTGCTTGTACTCATTCTGGAAATCATACCAATCAGATTTTGAAAATTGCTGAAGTGTGTATTGACAACTTCAAGCAGAGCTACGCATAACATTGGATTCGGGAGATCGTGGAGAACACGATAGGCGATAGCAAGTAGACTATTGCCGACTAAGGTGCTTACGATCCTAAGAACTGGTATCAGAGCTTGGCGAACAGGCGCGTTGATCGTCGCGAATTCACTTGGTGCGCTAAGTGAAATTAGTGGAGAAGAGGAGTCGTTCACGCCTACGCTATGGGAGACAAGGCGAGTTCGGGTTCCAGTGTGAGTCTTGGAGACCCGCAGTTGAAGGCTCTTCTCGAGGCCCTTGCGAGTGGCCGATTGGTGGCGAAACCGACGATCGGGCTCAGTGAAGCACAGCGCTTCAATGGAAGCAACTACAACGCGTGGCGAAAGAAGTTCATTCGAAGGGCAGAGGAGGTGGACCTCTTGCCGTACTGCCGTCCCGACGAGGAGACGATGGAGGGAGTTGCGCCTTCCACGACGGACACGAAGGAGAAAATAGCGGCGTTTAAAAAGCAAAGTAAGCAAGCTTTCTTTCAGCTTTGTCATTCAGTTGCCGATGGAATCGCGGTGGATTTGGACCAGTTTGCAGGGGAGCTGAACCCTAAACAACGAGTGTGGACACATATATGGGTACGAACGATGTCAACAAGAAGGCGATTAGGAAGCAACTGCTGATGCTGAGCATGGAGAAAGGCGAGAAAATCATCACCTACATCAACAGGGCGAAAAGCAAGCCCTCATATTCGTTTTTTGCCTGTCTGATTCATCAGACTAGTACACAATTTTAGTCTAAAACCCTTAGAGTTGGTATAAAAAAAAAGGCTGAAATTTCAGAGTTCCTTAATAAAAAAGTCTGAAACATTAATGTATCTAATGTTTCATCAGAAATGTATTCAATGCTTCATCTGATACAGAAACATACTAGACTAAGGGGATTTTCTGGAGACATTCTCTGACAGGGCGAATTTCTGTGTCAGGGCGAATCTTGTGGTGTGAAAGGGCGAATCTGCAACGTCAGGTGAAATTTCTTGGTGATTGGTCGAAATCATTGTGCTCTGACAGCGCAAATCCGATGTGTCAGAGCGATTTTGATGTGATTGGGCGAAAATCTTGTGCTGTAAGGCGCGGATTTGCCGTTTCAAGCCGATTTTGCATTGACCTGTGAAGTTCGAACCGAATCACCAGTCAAGAACACACGCAGAAAATAGAATCGGTACGCGTTTGTACTCTGAGTGATCAGAGCACACTCCCGGAAAACTTTGAAAAGTCAGAGTGAGCTCTAAAATTTCTCTGAAAATTACAGAGTTGGGGCCAAAAAATCTCTGATTTTAACAGACCTCACTTAAAAAAAATCTGAATTCTCAGAGTTTTTCATGCAAATCAGAGAAATTTCTCTAACTTCTGGGGGCCTGGCGAAAAGCTACAACGACGATTTGCGGGTGATGGGAGCCGCGGAGACGGAGCACGAGATGATTGACTATATCATCCAAGGACTTCCTAAAGAGTGGGAATCCCACATCGGTATGTTTACGTACCAACCGTCGGAGAGTTTGATGAAGCTGCAGGAGATTCTACAGTCGCTTGAGATGGTTCATGGACAGCGGATGCACGCGTCACATGACATTCAGGTCAGATTGGATGGAAAATGTGAGGGAGTCGAGTGAGGATTATATACTGCAAGGTAACAGTGGAAAGTTACCAGTGACAGGAGAGGGTGATGTGGTGCTGCGGAGTCCATATGGAGTAGTGAAACTGGAGAGTGTTGCTGGTTGCGGATTTGAAGGTGTACTTGGTCAGTCAGTCACAGCTTGATGACTTGGGGTGCAAGATATTCTATGACAGTGGTGAGGTGACTGTGTTTGGTCCTGAGTGGGAGAAGTATGCTGATGGTCACTTCAGTGACGGGTTCTATGAGATGAGCTTGGTCGCGACGAATGATATGGATGAGATCTATGAGGATCCTGAGTATGGTGAGATGGGAGAACTGGAGGAGTTATTGACTAAGGTTGATAAGAGCGAGGACACGGATGATACGGGAGCGAGTGTGGAGGCAGCAGTGAAGCAGGAAGAGGAGATAGTGATCACGGAAGCAGCAGAAGTAAACGATGGAGATGGAGTTGGTTTCAACACCTTTGCAGCAGCGATCGACGAAGCAGTAAATGCAAGTGTGTGGGAGTCGCTGTAAAAGGGGACATCATGATGAAGGGATCAAAGGTGAATGCAACTGCAAAGGCACGAGTGTTTACGAAAGAAGAATGCATTGAGGGGTACGAGACCCGAGAGGTGTTGGGTGTAAAGATGCCGAGGAGAAGCGAGAGGCATAAGAAAAACTCTCAAGGTTTGGATGTCAAGGCGCTCAACTACAAGACACGTAAGCAGAGGTTCAAGGTGCAGGAGCTGCAGGGGAGCATGAAGCCAACTTAGACCCTGTGAAGGCTACAAGGAGAAGGGGAGCAGTGCGAGAGGTGTTCGTGGTTGACAAACCACAGGGGAGATTGTTAGGGTTGGTTCGCCCAACCACGGAACCTAAGGCGAAAGCATCTACGACGGCGGAATGACGGCGAAATGGAAGCACGTGTGTGAAACGGTGGAAATCGGCCTACGGTGGGGAATAGAGGCTACGGCATGAGAAGCGGGAGAGAAATCGAGAAGAAACGTGCTAGAAGGAGGGAGAGAGAAGGAGAAGCATCGAGAATGAGATTGACGAGGGGAAAAATATGCTTCGAGACCAAGGCGCGTTCGAGAAAGTTCGGGATTCGGACTTGCGGAGTATTCACTGAATTCGGTTCGGTTGCGTGTGCGACTCGGGGTGAAGCGAGGCGCACGCGGTTACTTGGGAAACAAGTGAAGTTACGAATCGCATTTTGTGTCTTGCCTGACTAGAAAACTGCTTGTACTCATTCTGAAAATCGTACCAATCAGATTCTGAAAATTGCTGAAGTGTGTACCGTCATACCCCGGATAGAAGCGCCACCCGCGGATAAGCGCCTGGCGCTTTTAATTGGCGTGTGGCGCTTATATCCGGTGCTCGATTATAAGCGCATACCTAAAAGGCTTACAGATTATAACCGAATACCTATACCGAACACATTATAACCGCCACCCTGGTTTTTTGTTGGTTTTTTAATTTGAAGTCATTTTATACATTTTATCCACTAGCATATCATGTTAGTTAATCTACAACTAGTTTATCTACTTCTAGTTAATCTAATTCTACCTACGAGCCTCACACAGGCTTCACCATTTTCTAGAATTCTACCCCACTCTAATCATCAGGTACAGTGGGGTCATCTGGGTCTGCCTCAGAGTCCGACTCAGGTTCCTCTACGTTGTTGCAGAAGAAACTGTCTGCTGCAATTTCATCATCCATGTCAACCTCCTCGCCCTCGAGCTCGTCTCGCCTGTGTTGCAGGCAGAGCTTGTCCTGGGACCCATCCAGGGCGTTGCTGATGCCGCAGGTGAGGAACGCTCGTTGAATGAGCTCCTTGGGCACGGACTTCCAGGCCGCCGAGATCCACTTGAGCGTCAGCTCGACAGGAGGCTTCTTGATGTTGCCTGCCACGCAAATCCACAAACCGGGTCAGCACGGGTTAAAGAAATACAAACGTAATCAGTGCTGCACCTCTCACCTTTCTTCGTCAAGGTGTCGACCCCCTCACGCTCAAACCACTCCTGGTAGAGCTGGCGAACGGCGGCCTTGAAGGAGTGGTTAACCGCGACATCGAGGGGTTGAATCTCCGAGGTGCAGCCAGCAGGGATAACCGCAGGGACCAGGTTGAGCTCGCCAAACTTCTTCTTCACCTCCGGGGTCAGTCGCTCGCGGTAGGAATCGAGGACGAGCAGAGCCTTGCGGGGACGGACTCCGAACTTGGGGTTGATGTACGGCTTCACCGCCCTGTCCAACCACTCGATGACCCCGTCCGCGTCCATCCAACCGTTGGGATGGACCCCCACGTGGATATCTGCACAACATAAAAACCACGATGTTAGTTACCGTACGTTTATCACCTGACATGAACATGCCACCGCGTAATCGACGTGTGCTTCATACCTGAAGGAAAATCTCCTTTGGGGACGGTCTTCCTTTTGAAGAAGACCCACAGCTTCAACTTCTCCCCGCTAGCGGTGCAGGCGAGCA